ATATACAAGGTTAAGATTTTTCTTATTCTGGGCAGATTTTAGTAGATTCTGGGCAGATTTTTATAGCAGATCTTAGGAGGACTTATAGATTCATAGAAAGTTGTGTTACATTACTATTCAACTGTATTTAGTTTTGATATTTTGTCCGCACAGTATTGGACACTGTTGCGTGGTTTTTGTCCGCTCAGTATTGGACACTGTTGCGTGGTTTTTGTCCGCTCAGTATTATACACTGATGCGTGGTTTTTTTGTCCGCACAGTATTGGACACTGTTGCGTGGTTTTGTCCGCATAGAATTGGACACTGCGTATGCATGGTTTTTTTTGTGTGCACAGTATTGGACACTGTTGCTTATTTTGATGCGGAATGTAATGAAATCCGTTTGTGATGTGTGAAAGTGATGTACCAATGAATCTTTGAATCATACATTTTGTGAACTGTGTATAATGTGAATATTAGCCTGGAATATAATTTTGAATAAATCATAGATTAGTCAATTTACTTGTATATTATCTTTAACAACAAGACTACACATCATTGGATTATTTGTCGTTAATTGACCGTTATTTCAATGTACCCGGCCTGACCTGAAAGTTTTACTATACTCGACCCAGTGGCGGATCCAGAAATTTTCATAAGTGGGGGCCCACTGACTGCCTAAGAGGGGGCCTCACTCCAGTCATGCTTCAGTGATTCCCTATATATAATCAAACAAATTTTTCCCACAAAAGGAGGGGCCCGGGCCCCCTAGCCCCCCCCCCCCCCCCCTAAATCCGCCTCTGCGACCGCCATGGCAAATGTGTCGATGATCGACGCTTAACAACCAACAGGGCGGATTGGCTAAAAATAGAACATAAGAGTAAAATGCAATTTTGATTATAATCTTGAAACTCCTATAGAAAGAGAAAATCTTACAGTGGCAAAAATGTTCAGAATTTTGAGATCTACCAACTGGTAATTTTCATCAAAATTGAGTGAATTTTACCTTTTTTCTTCATTTTTAGCACAGACGATATACCAGTAGTACTATATATTTCAGTGTTTTTAGGCTATTATCTTCAAAACAAAATATAATAGATAAATAGAAACTTTAAACAAGCAATAACAAGCATTCTGAGAGTATTGCATGGCAATACAGAGTCCCCTACCGGTTAAGAATTCATTGTACTGGAATAAAATGCAAACTTGATCTATAACTTGTCATGGTGTAAACTAAATAACAAATATCAAGTCAATATATTCAAGCATGACGAAAACTAGAGGCTCTCAAGAGCCTGTGTCGCTCACCTGATTCTACTTTGGTTTTGGAAATCATGTAAAAATAGATTAAAATCGTAACAGATACCCTAATAATGAGTGAGGCCAAATTTGGTTTAATATTGGTCCTGTAATTTAATAAAAAATCCTGGTGGCCATCTTGAACAGTAAATCGGCAACAAAGTAGCAACACTTAATCAGCACCTCATAAGAAACATTTATGCCATGTTTTGGTTTCATTCCATTCAGTGCACCTCTAGAAGAAGCATTTGTATGTATTTCCCATAGGGTCTTGTGTTAAAGGAAGTCCCCCCATTGGCGGCCATCATGAATGAAGGATCAGCTTCAAAGTAACAAAACTTAGTCAGCACCTCATAAGGAACATTCATGCCATGTTTGGTTTCAATCCATTCAGTATGTGGTTCTCTAAAAGAAGACATTTGTATGTATTGTCCATAGGGTCCTTTGTTAAACATTGTCCCCATCTGGCAGCCATCATGGATGAAGGATCAGCTTCAAAGTAACACCACTTGGTCAGCAACTCAAAAGGAACATGCATGCCATGTTTGGTTTCATTCCATTCAATGGTTCTCTAAAAGAAACATTTGTACGTATTTCTCATAGGGTCCTATGTTAAACTAAGTCCTCCGCTGGCGGCCATCTTAGATTATGGATCGGCTTCATAGTAACAACACTTGGTCAACACCTCATAAGGAACATTCATGCCATGTTTGGTTTCATTGCATTCAGTGGTTCTCTAAAAGAAGACATTTGTATGTATTTCCCATAGGGTCCTATGTTAAACTAAGTCTCCCGCTGGCTGCCATCTTGGATGATGGATCAGCTTCAAAGTAACAACACTTGGTCAGCACCTCATAAGGAACATTCTTGCCACGTTTGGTTTCATTCCATTCAGTGGTTCTCTAAAAGAAGACGTTTGTATGTATTTCCCATAGGGTCCCATGTTAAACTAAGTCCCCCGCTGGCGGCCATCTTAGATTATGGATCGGCTTCAAAGTAACAACACTCGGTCAGCACCTCATAAGGAACATTCATGCCATGTTTGGTTTCATTCCATTCAGTGGTTCTCTAAAAGAAGACATTTGTATGTATTTCTCATAGGGTCCCATGTTAAACTAAGTCCCCTGCAGGCGGCCATCTTGGATAATGGATAGGCTTCAAAATAACAACACTTGGTCAGCACCTCATAAGAAACATTCATGCCATGTTTGGTTTCATTCCATTCAGTGGTTCTCTAAAAGAAGACATTTGTATGTATTTCCCATAGGGTCCAATGTTAAACTAAGTCCCCTGCTGGCGGCCATCTTGGATTATGGATCAGCTTCATAGTAACAACACTTGGTCAGCACCTCATAAGGAACATTCATGCCATGTTTGGTTTCATTCCATTCAGTGGTTCTCTAAAAAAAGACATTTGTATGTATTTCCGATAGGGTCCTATGTTAAACTAAGCCCCCCGCTGGCGGCCATCTTGGATTATGGATCGGCTTCAAAGTAACAACACTCGGTCAGCACCTCATAAGAAACATTCATGCCATGTTTGGTTTCATTCCATTCAGTGGTTCTCTAAAAGAAGACATTTGTATGTATTTCCCATAAGGTCCTATGTTAAACTAAGTCCCCCGCTGGCGGCCATCTTGGATGATGGATCCGCTACAAAGTAACAACACTTGGTCAGCAAGTCATAAGGAACATTCATGCCATGTTTGGTTTCATTCCATTCAGTGGTTCTCTAGAAGAATTTCAAAATGTAAAAAGTTAACGCCAACGACGGACGACGGACGCCAAGTGATGAGAAAAGCTCACTTGGCCCTTCGGCCCAGGTGAGCTAAAAAAGTGTTGAAAACTGTTTATTTAAGTGAATTTTCTAAGTCAAAGGACCATAACTCTGCATAAAATCATCAGACCTGAACATAATTCCAACTTGATCTGTAGCTTGTCATGATAAAACTATATACCAAATTTCAGATCAATATCTTCAAGCATGAAGAAAAAAAGTGTAGAAAACTGATTTGCTGGACTGACGGATGGACAGACAGACAGACAGACAGATGGAGTGCAAACCTAAAGTCCCCTTCAACTTCGTCGGTAGGGGACTAATAGTCAGCTAAATGAGATCTACAAATAATTCAATGTGGCCAAAATCACTGATTAGACTTCTCCTTATTGGAGTTATTGCCCTTAAATGTTGATTTTTAGCATTTCTCTTTTCATTTTTGCCTATATTATCTTGAAAACTATAATAAACAGAAATTTTAATAAGCAATAATGATCAGGAAGACAAGATCTTCAAATAAGTCAACATATTCCAATGTTTTAGAGTTACCATTGTTGAAGATGAACATAGACCCGTTGACTAGAGCCTCTAGTTAGTTATTCCACTTAAAAGAGTGGTTTAACAATCAAAATCCTGAGTTGAATCTCGACACATTAGTAGTTGTCTGGTTATATCTTAAGGTTTTTTTTTTGTCAATTAATATGGACGTTGGTGTTAATGACAGATCTTTCATAGTCTATGTTAAATTTATTTGTCTAGACTCTACACAATTAAGAGCCTAACATAAGGAATGGGAATTTGTATATTCTGGAAGACCATATGTAATCTTCTAATGATCACTTGAGGCTTTTTATCTTGCTGGTTTACTGTCATTGATATATACCCCACATCTCCTTTTATTCATAAAATAAGATTAATGTAACTCAAGAAACTTAACTTGTTGACCTGCTATGACTCAGTTTCTTCTAATCAGTAGATAGATATAAGAAGGTGTGGTATGAGTGCCAATGAGACAACTCTTCATTCAAGTCAAAATTTATAAAAGTAAACCAATATAGGTCAAAGTACGGTCTTCAACACGGAGCCTTGGCTCACACCGAACAGCAAGCTATAAAGGGCCCAAAAAATTACTAGTGTAAAACCATTCAAATGGGAAAACCAATGGTCTAATCTATATAAAAAACGAGAAAAGAGAAACACTTATGAACCACATCAACAAAAGGTTGTTATAATCCAGAATATTCAATATAAAATCATGAATCTGGTGGTTCTAATGGAGACTCAAAAAGGTCTCTCTTTTGTAAATATGGATATAATAACAATTTCCAGTAGAAATATGATTTAAGCACTAGCATCTGTTATTATCTATCTCCGACCCCCTATAAGTTTACCGTCCTGTAGATATTTTTGTGACCTCAGTAGCCTGGTTGTCAAAGCAGCTGATACCTAGTACAAGTAAAAAACACATTAGCTTTTCATCACTATAGTAGATGTCCTTAAAAAAGTTCAGGTGTATCTCATAATCTGACTTGTGATATGTGATTATTTAATCGTCTGTGATATGTGAGAGTTTAATGTAAAAATAAGGAGATTTGATTTGATTGCCAATGAGACAACAATCTGTAAAAGACCATATGACATGGATGTAAATAACTAGATTGCATTGTGCAGCCTTCAACAATGAGCAAAACCATACCATATATATAGTATGCTATCAGAGGCACAGGCATGACAAAATATGAAACAAATCAAAAGAGAAGATCAACTGCCTGATTTGTCCATTTTTTACTGAAGGAGTAATACCACCATTGTTTTCCCTATTAGTCTTTGTAAAACTGCATTTTGCAAAAAATTGTGCAGAATTTATGTTTCTCATTGGCAAGCATACCACATGCATCTTCTTATTTTTATATGACGGTATTTTTATGATGTCAAGAAATAAGTCTTTGTTCATGAATATTTTTATTCAATGACTATATATAGATATATATATATAGTACTAATGAGAAATGATGAGTATGATGATGGTTTTAATACTGCCCAACAATCTGACAAAAATATCATACACTGTACAAAATATCACAGAATTAGTATACTCGGCCAGATTTTATATCAACATTTAATCATACAATAAATGTATTTCTAATTTATCATCATCAACAATCTAATTTTCAAATAGTGCAAAGATAGTTTGTTTTTTTGACAATTGTCTAAGGGAAGATAACTCCAATAGTTGATCATAATTTACTTATATTGCTTTTAGGTTGGAGGAAATTGTTTCATATCTTTTTGAATTTAGCATTTTATAACTTAATATTAAGCAACATCTTTTGTTTATACATTGTTTATAATTTTCTCAAATTCACTGTACAAAATATCCCTGCTCACTATAAAAACTTTACTGGGCAAAATACTAGAACTAAAAAAAACCATTGAAAATAAAATGAAAGTTACATAAATATTTTTCCTGGAAAGTTTTCTTTTTTTTCCAACAATTTTACCAAAAGTCTGAACAAAATGCCCACTTATGTTACTGATTGTAAAGATTGATAGACATTCCGTTAAAAAAAGTTTCAGATTATCTGCCCAATTACCGAGTCAATATTAGCTGACATGTTTTAAATAACTTAGCTGTTGAAAATACATTTAAAGGGTAATGAAATATCATTAAATTACCTATACAATGAAATATACACCAATTAACAACATTAAATGACTTTTTACATGCAAAAATAAAACATTCTTCATAAAAAACCTTCTGTAAAATGACTGACTTAAAACATCAAAGTTCATAAAAAAACACTCCAAAATGCAAACAGCATAGCTGTAATATAAATGACTAAATCTAAAATAATTTAAATTCATAAAACTATAATTTAACCCTTAACACAAGATTTTCTTGTAATTCATAGCAAAATAAACGTCAGCTTTCATAAAATATAAAGATTAAAGAGTAATCACAATTTACATTGCCAAATTTTTGCATATTAACATAAGAAAATTATAACGTAACACAATTATTCTTTGAAACATGTCTTAATTATCTATTAAAAATAAAAAGTATTTGATGTAAAACGTAATAACATTTTATGGGAAGGCAACTTCATAAAAAAATGAAATGACTCATTTTAAATTTATCTTTGGCATTTCATCAAATAAAGATTTTTTTACATATCTTTTCTTACTGCTTTTACTTTTTCCAAGAGATTAAAACTACAAATGTATCTTTGTAAAATATACAATTAAGCACCTTGTGAAAATGCATAAAAGAACACTAAAAGAGTACACCTTGGTTTCAAACCAAAGAAATATAAATAAAACCTGATTCACAAAATGATGTAACTGAACTTTTCATTTTTAATTCATCTGAAACTGCAACCCTTGTGTTTATACTTTATAGTCAACTGTGCATTATATAACAACATATTCTATAAGAAATATTATATAAATAAGTATTTAGAAGGTTAATAAAACCTCTCAAGCAAATCCCTGTATGCAATCTTACAACTGATCCTGGCAGTCTTTGAACAGGGATCCAGTCTAAAAGAACAAAGGACAGGATAGGTAGGATAAGATATCTAAAGGAAAATTAAAAATTCTTAAATTACAATAATTTGGCCATTATAAGAATAAAAAGTCAATTTTTTTTTTTTCAACTTGATTGTTCTAAATATGAAATTTTGCCAGAAAATGCACATTTCCTGAATTATTGAGTTATGAAACGTTGATAATCTATTGCAAATAATTCTACAGACAAAGACCTGAGTAAAAGTGTGGTAAACTTGGTATGAACCTGTGAGTTATAAATTTTACAACAGAAATTAATGTTCTATCCTATTAGCAGTTTTCAAGATGAACACTTTCGAGTAAACATTAAGTTTTTTTTCACAATTTGCACATTTCAATTAAAAGAGAACTTTATCTTATTTGCAACTTTACAAACATGTATATGCATTTTGTTTGGTAAAAGATATTGTATAAAAAAATATTTTTACACAATGCTTAAACATTCTTGCTGTGTTATTTTCAAAGGTCCAAAAAAGCGCTTATCAACATTGTCCTCAATTGTAAATTGTTGAAATGATAGCTAAATGCAGAGTGGGTCTTAGAGTACAAAATTGTCACCTTAATCATGTTTTTAAATGATTCCCTTTAGATGAGTCCGATTCACAAGAAAATGTACTAAATAATCTAACTATTACAGAAATAAATAAATAAACAAATTTTCCTGAACTTATTTGTATGTAATTGGTTATAAACTGGATGAAAATGCCATGTAAAAATAAATTAAAACCCTGAGAAGCAACATTCTGACAAAAACCTGCTGCTAATAAATTTATATGTTGCTGAGACAAATAGCATAAATTAAAATGGAATAATGACACATAAAATTCAAATCTTGAAGCCATTACTAAATGTGACAGGTGTTTTAAATGCAATTTAAATGTGCCTCTGAGGTCAAATCAGAAACAGATGACCATAATGGTGATTTACAATGAAAAATTGATATAAAATTAATAACATAAATTCAGGCAAAAATGTAAGAAATGTTGATGTTATTCTAATGCCACCTTTTCATCTTTTTTAACCTTATAAATCTTTATACTCTATTGAAAGCGAAATGAGAATGAACATGAAACTTCAATAGAGTATTGATAAATAAAAGAATTTTCATAAAACCTAGAGTTATCTCCCTTACAACAATCTTTGAAATTTATTAAAATATTCTGCTCTCAATTACAGTGCAGTGTGAGCTTTTCATAAAGGCCTCACTTTAACTCTTTTTTAAATAACGACAAGTAGTATAAGAATTGTTCCCTTCTTTCCTCCTTAACTAGAAAGATGACAAATACAAAATTATTTTGTAAACTTGTATAAGGAACAAATAACCACTATAAAAATAACCGAAACTTTTCCAAAATCTGTATTGTACAATGTGGTCAATTAAAAAATATTTATTGTGCAAATGTCAGGTAAAAAACAAAGCATTCTTAATTGTTTGTACTTTATTCAATAATTTTACGACATTTTACATAATTATTCTAAGATTTAGATTCCTTCACAAATTACTTAATGACAGAAGGAAATATAAAACTAGCAATCGATCACGTAAATCAAAAAGATGTTTTTATATTGACAGTTAATAACGATGACTTATCTTATTGTGCAAGTTTTATTGTGGAGAGCATCTCAAAACTGATTGGAGAGAGAACCTGACATCAGTGGTTATCTCAGGTCATATCTCAGTGTTTTTTGTTTTTGGGAGAATTTGGTATGATGGGGGAAGATCTTTGATGCTTTCTGTGTAGGAGAGTTGGCCCTTGATGTATTTTATAGACACCTGTCTATTGCCAAAGAAAGTGTTTGTTTACCTCTAAGTGTCTTTTAGTTATCTATGTTGTTGGTTTGCTGACTCATTGGCATAAGCCCCACATCTCCCTCCTTTTATTCACAAGAATAAAATTTAGAATTTTTATGGAGATATCCAAGTTTATTTTACAAAATTGCAATGAAAGGTTTAAATGATGGTAAATGACATTTATAAGCCTTGCCTACTTTAGTTCTTTTCTTGTCCACCTCTTTTTCTCCAATAATGAGGTAATAATAAATGATGGACATTCATTGCAGTATTTTCAATCCATAAAATGGGTTTTAGTTGACCAGGAAATCACTGTATAACCATTGCAACCAATGTAATACTTTTAATTATTCTGAAAGTACATTTCCTTGGGAGCAATGTGTTAACACAGGTAACTTTCACAACTTTGTAATGGAATGTGTTTTGAGATGCTCCCTTTGATCTTTTACCACAAGTACAAATGACAAATCCCATCTTCATTAATGAAATATAATTATAATAATTTTATGAAGAAATACCTTATTCATGTTATTCACGACAAAGAATGTCATTATTGCCAATTTCAGATACAGAATATTTAAGAATTTCAACATTTTTTTAGAAGATATCATTACTTGATGACATTATCAAATTAAAATTATACATGACATATTTTTTTAATGATTGTTGACATGTTAGATGTCCATTGTGATAATTTTTTTGCTCATTAACAGAATCTGATATCCCAGATTGACCCAGAAGCAATTGTTTTTATAAGCAGACACTGATACAAATTGACATTATCTTCGTCATCTAAAATGGCCAGGAATTCTTCTCTTATGCCCTAATTAAGATTAATATCAATGAAACTTCTAAGGTCAGTTCTTATAAACAAATTACATACTCAAATCAGCATACAGCCATTAATAAAATTGAGAATGGAAATGGGGAATATGTCAAAGAGACAGACAACCCGACCTACAACTGTTTATTTGACAAAAATTACCCTTAAAATTGTTTTATTAAAAAAAATGACTTTATTTTCCCTTTTTCTGAATGAAAACCATTTCAATTTCTCAAATTATTTAATTTTTTTCTTTAATTGGTGATTAAAAAAGTTCTTTTGTAAAGTAGTAAAAATTAAATAAAAATTAATTTGTAAATTTATTTTGATAAATTTATTTATAGTAACTTAATAAACATTATACACAAGCACATTTTATATCTTAATAAATAAGGTTAGCTAATTAAAAAATATTTATATGCTCAGCACAACAACTAATGATTTTGAAAATACACATAAATATCATTATATACAAAATATTTTGCTACACCAATGTTGACAATTTAGTACCCGACTCTTCAAACAATGCAATAGTTTTAAATGGTTTATCTGGGAACACCTTATCCGATGAGGTATGACGTGGAAGTGTTGAAGACTTTATGACAGGTGGCACCACTGGTCCATGTTCTTCTACAAGTTGTCGCCTTGGCAACATTTCAGGTGTTTGATTCATTTGTTGTCTATTATGAATTAAAATATCCTGGTGAGTTTGTACTTTTGTTTTCATCTGATTGCCACTTTTGGATGATTTATCTGTTGATTTTGAATTTTCTCCACCCGTGGAAGATTTTCGCTTTTTACCGAACAAACTTCCAAATGGATTCCATGATTTATTTTTAGAAGCAACACTTGTTGATGATGACCTTGGACGAGGTTCATCCCTTTCATTGAAAATATCATTTGGATCACTCTTCCCTGATGCTACAGACACAGGCACTGCATGAAAACTGTGACGATATGATGCTGGTCTTTGAAGTTGCGTAGCTAAATTCTCCTTACTCTGAAAAAGATTATATATATCAGCAGAACTTGCGAAAACGGTCCTTTTTCCATTTTGATTAATATTGTCCACAGACACATATTTCGTCTTATATAAGTTTCCCGGCACTGAATGGCCAGAGTGTACACTAATATTATCATTACTTGCATGAATAAAGTCCTGCGATGAAAAATGTCCCGAACTATTTGATACAAGTGATCGATATGAGGTATTCTGACTTTCATAGCCATTGGATAATCCATAGTTTTGAATTTGCCGTGGATCTTGTGAATATGCTCTTTGACATAATTCAGGCATATTTCTAGTATGCGATTGTGTTGGCAATGTCTGTGACCTAGAATAATCCACTGGATTCGAAGCACTTTGATAAGAACTAGGTTTGTAATAATTGTCCTCTCCATATTGTTGTTTAATCATTTTCTCTTGAAAATATAGCACTTTTGGACTATCCTTTTCATCACTTTGCATGTTATCAAATCCATAATAGTTACGATAATTCAAATCCATGTCTGTTAATTTATCGTATAATTCACCTTCAAATTTCTTCAAGTCATTTTGAACAACCTCTTCCTGTTTTTCCTCCTCTTCTGACGGATGCCCTCTTCTAGTTATTCGGGTATTGTCTCTCGTTGATGTAGAATTAACAACACATTTCCAATGTGAATCATTGTCAGAAGAATAACCAAAACTGCCAGCATCAGAATTTCTCCGTAGTGTTCCTAATCTATCTTCCTGATTCTCATCGTGAGTATTTTCTTCTTCAATTATGGCAAGTTGACGTAATTTTTCCTGCAACGAATTATCTTGTGATTCCGTCATTTTTGTCCTTCTCCTCACAGCCCATGTAGTATTAGACTGTCCATTTTGTGAGGTATTGTACACATAAGAATTTGCAATTCCATTTATACCGTTTGGCATATTTTGTCCAGTTTTCTTTAAAATACCATGAAGTGGTTTTTGTTCTAGATCCCCATTAGCAAGCAATGACAAGGCAGAAGAAAAGTTTGTACTTGTACTTGAATTTGTACCATACCCATCATCTTCTTCAGAGCTTTTAGGTGATAAATCAATGTCCTTAGAATGTTTTAGATATTGTGTACCACCATTTTGCATTCCAATAGGATTTGCAGTCTCCCTGGTAGGAGTCTGTTCTCTAATTGAACCACATTTTGTATTCTCGAAACTTTTCTGATTCTTTTGGATTTTTTCGTCATTCCGCTGTTCCTCTTCCGTTGTCATCATAATCATTGTATCAGCTGATGAATCACTTGCAGAGTCTAATGCATCAAGGGGATCATAATTATTCCACAATTCTTCTGTAGTTTCAGGGGTTATGTCCTGAAGAGGTGGTACAAGTGTTCCTGGTCCATGTTTAGGTTCGTCCCTTACCCAGATTTTGTCGTGTTGCGTAACATTGGTTCTTGTCAATGGATTGGCATCCCTTATTTGTTCTGATACTCTTTTATCCTGACTCAAATCAGTTTCTGAATGCAAGTTATAGCTATTTTCCTTTCGTTCAGAAGTCAAATATTTGTCTCTATTTGCTATCTGACTTGTTCTCCTTTCAGTTCTTACTGGAAGAGCGCTTGGCTCATTTTCTTTACTTTTTAGATGATGATTTTGAGTCCTATAACTCTGATTAGGGACTGAATTTTGAGTTCTCTCTAATTTGTTTGACGTCTGCTCTTGAACTCTAGGTGATGGCAGTGTTCTTCTTTCTGTTCTCACTGGTAAATTACTCTGTGTTCTTGTAGATGAAGGTTGGCTTGGCAACCTTTTTCTTGGAGGTAACTTTGGTGGCGCTTCTGTATTTTCCTCTTCTTTTTCTTCTTTACGAGAGTCCTTCAAATAAGGTGAAGGTCGTGCAACAGAAGATACTGGTGTGATGATTCGTGGCTTTGAATCTTTTGTATCCTTAAAATCCTGAGAATTTCTATCCACGATTTTTGACACAAAATTATTAGCATCTGGTGGAAACAATGGTTTGAATCCGTGTGCTTGACTTTTACGCCCAGTGACAACTGATCCAGATCTTGATTTTTGAGCATCTTTACGACTATCCCTAGGCAAAGAGCTATGTGCAGACGAGGAAACAACTGGCAACATTCGTGAACGATAGATCTCAGATTGCCCCGAGCTTACTTTGCTAGCCATTGTGATCAACTTTTTATCAGATAACAATTTACAATATCAGTCTGGTGATCTTGATCTGAATTCATCCATTTTTTATCCAATTAAATCATGATGTCTGCAAATTATAAAACTGTTATGTCTGCTTATTACCTCAAACAAGGTATACTCAAATTAACAAAATATATTCCAAAGATATTTCCTCAATGAACTTAACACCAAATATGCCTCTCTTTATGTAAACATACGTACACACGAAGTAAACTTTAATTAAAATTCATTAAAATATGTTCCTGACATTAATTTGTAATTCCCTTTTGTAGCTATGTCAGCAGTAATTTTCCTTTATAACTTTTTTGTTCTACGTATGGGTTATATATCCTCAAGATACATTTAATGTACGGTACTTTAAAAATTTTAACATTCCTGTCAATAATTTATGAATAATATGTATCCAATATTTCAAAGCAAATAGGTCACAATTCACGCTGAATTAACCATAAATTGCAAAAAAATATTTATTTTTGTTGCAAATTGTTTCCAATCCAACAGTTTAGTAATCCACTCATGAATATATCGAAAATCACTTTGTAGCTCCTAAAACTGACTTTGTGTAGGTTTTGATGTGTTATTTTTAGCCCTCCTTATAACCTACTACCATCTTTTATATTCTGAAAAGAGAAAAAAGGACATATAAGCATTATTTCAATACCAAATGGTGCAATGATAAATACAAAGTCTGTATAAGCGTAATATCTAATCAGCTTATATGAAAGTTCATGTGAAGACATCTACCGAATTGTATGTGCACTTTTACAAATAAATCTTATATCAGAGACTTGGTTTAGTTCATTTGCATATTAATCTAATTCACCTGGCATGCATATCCCAATGTTTAATATTGGAATGATTGTAAATGTCACTTATTTACTTACAAAATTTATGGAAAATATGTTTATTTAACAAAAAGTAGGTCTGGTGAAGATAAATTACCCAAAGTCAGGTTCAATTTAACACAGTAATTTATTTAAACTGATTATAGAATTTCACTCATTACATCAACTCAAATACCCAATAAATATCCAACTGAAACTGATTTCAGGTCAACACTGAAAATTGTCTGATATCTAGAAATATTCTCATTTCAAACTGAAGAAACATGAACCTCACAATATGTCAATCAAATTCATATTAAACAAAGCATTCAATCTGTAAAATCGTATGATGCAAGAATTTTTCAAAAAATATTTACTCAAAATAATTGATTTAAATTTACCTTCCATTAGTCTATTGGACTTCCAATCAAGAATCTGATACGAGTCTAACAGTTATATTTACATGCACAAACAATTAAGAGGAACATCCTAATGACAAATTACATGTATACTATAATGTACCTGCCCACAAAACACCTTTTTTTTGACAATCTAGAACAATAAGCATGTTACCTGTTAATGACTTCCTTTGATGTTATACAGGTGAGAACAGGTATGCCCTGACACCTCTTACTTCATCCTAACACCCCAGGGAATTGAGGTACATCTTGTAAAACATTCCATGCTTCCTTTCAACCAAGACAATGTCATTATTCAGGGGGAGTGAGTGTGAGGTGATAGTATCATTAGGATATTAACAATATTTAATTTCGACATTTTTTTTCATCTAGAGTACTTTCTCTGTAAAGGGGAAGTAACTCTTAAATATGAAAGAGACAACAAATTAAGTTAAAAGTAAAAGTAAATACTTAATAAAATAATTGTTTTAAAAACTTCAGCACATAGATCATTTCTTCCTTTCATGACTTGTAAACACTTAAAATAAATTGAAACCTTCAACCTTTCAGGAAAATAATGTAAGATGTTTTTTCTGAAACATTTAGGACGTAGATTTACTTTGTGCAGTGAATTATTGTAACATTTCCAAAAATTCAGTTAACACCTTTATTTTAATGAAGTATTAAAAACTGCTATATCAGTCACATAAAACCATAGAAACATATAATTAACCATTAGACAAAATGTTTTTAACAGAAAATACTAATTTATTCCACATAAAACCAACTGAAATTCCTCAGAATCAGTTCAATCTATTTTAATATCTACCTAGAAACAGTTCTTTCAAGGATAAATTGAATTGTTATTAATTCTATCAACAGTTAGTTGCATAACTTTTCACTGATATTTTTTAGACAAGGGGAGATAACTTAACTAATCTAATGGAAATCTACTGATGAACAATCTTCTGATAGAAGATTAATTCTTCTGATCAACCTACCAAAATGTAAATTTTTAATTTATAGATCTGCATCATGTATGCCTTGTCATTAGGAATACTTCATTAATCTAAATCAAAGATAGCTAAAGTATGCTTTATTTTATTTCATTGGAATAACACACTGTTTTTGGTTGTTTTTAACAATTCTAGAGTAGCTTTGACATGAAAAGACATCTTAATATGCTTTATGAACTACTGCACAACCTGCTTAATGCTTTATTCAAACATGGATTGATTGTTGCTCACAAATCGTCCAGTTGCAAATATTTCATGCATTATATTTAGGACATTTTAACATGGAGTACTTATTAATATTTTGAAAAAGTTAAATTTTATCTGTCCAATAATATTCTAACAAATGGCAAAAAATTGGACAACAAATGTCTTTGTCGACCATTTTCCTCATCTACGCACACAGAGCAGGAAGTTGATGCTTCAGCAGTTCCAATGTGTTACAATTTATAAATGTATTTATCATACAAAACAGACTATTGGTTATGATTGTCATGTATACAACATAACCACAATAAAATATAAATGTCAGTTGCCAAACTATTCATCAAACAATTGGTTCCATTTTATATCAACAATATATGTACTGAGCAACCCTGCCCCGCCCCCTTATTTTGTCCTACTTGTTAAAATGCTTTTTATTCACCACTTTTTAAAAATTTTATTTCAGAAATATTAATTTGAGTTCTTTGTTTACAAATATAATCTAATCTAATTATAACAAAACTAAAAGCCTTAGATCAGTGACTAAAATCATCTAGCTATGGAACTGCCATATTGAGTTCTAAAACTTTCAGAAAATGTATCAAATAATATTAAAATGGCTACATATCTGAATCTTTCACATTAAGTCTAGTTTTCCTTCTAAGAAATGATAAATAGATACTTATGCACCAAATGATTATAAGTAAGAATACATATGTTCCCTCAGGTTTCTGACATATAAAATATTAGAATCAACTTTATTGAATCAGTAACTCCAGGCCATATTAAATAACCTACAAACCTACTTAAAGAAAGTCCTTGCATGTAAAATGGTTAAAGGTGTCTATAAAATTATACTTGTAATATATTTTGTTTGTTTTTAGTGGAGAAGGATGTTCAATAAAAAGATCTGACAGTTTAATGTTTTATCAACTTTTAATTAAATATTCATGTCACAAATAAATTGGTAAAATATGTTCAAAAACTCGGCTTCCATTTTAACAGTACAAATTTGGCTGACATTATATTGCAATCTTTGAATTTTTTTACTATATTTTCAAATTTATTTTGACATCAAGGATGCTCTGTGTGAATTGCTATTTCCCAGAATCAAGATAAACTGTTAAGGAGAATCATCCCTTTAAAACTCAATATTTGAAAACACATCCAAATGTAAACTATTATTGAGTGGGTGGTTTTAAAAAAAGAAATGGTCTGTCCACACTTTACAAACTGGAATACCCTATATAGATGTGATTGTGTACCCAATAGCTTGCTTAACTCCACCTTTTCTAATTCCTGCTAAAATAAACAAGAAAATAATGCCCTATTATAGTTATTGATGTGGTTAATCATTACTCCTGTTAAAGGAATTTGAGGTTTGTTGTTATCAGGGGAAAATTTCATCTTGTTTTACTTTTGTATTACAATTACCTGACACTAAGATGTCCTAAGCCTGCATTTATATTCCAATATATGTTTACAGTCCAATTTATTGACAAATTGGACCATAAAATAGACTCTATAAAACCTATTGTTTTCAGTGTATTTTTTGTTGATACATTATTGGGTCTTTGATCATTGTTGATAAGATAGATTGATTGATTCTTGTTTGCTAAAGGAGCTACCATTTGATTTTTATGGGGGGCTAGGATGAAAAATTTTGTCCTGCCTATTTATTTTTCCCTCTATTCAGTCCTGCCTTTTTATTTTTCACTCTATTTGGTCCTGCCTTTTTTTTTTTAGTTTATCCTGACTTTAAGTTTTACATAAATTGTCATCCTGCCTTTTTTTTTGCAAATAATCTCATCCTGCCTTTTTTACTCAAAAATCCTGTCCTGCCTATTTTTTTCAAATTTCATCCTAGCCCCCCCCCCCCCCCCCCCCCCCCATAAAAATCAAAGTTTCCCTAAAGGTTGAATCACTTTTTAAGACATTACAATCACCAGAATAGGCAATAAAACATATATACATCCATGAAACAAATCCTTATAATACACACATGACAAAGCCTCAAGCAAAGAGCAATTATTGTATTGCTGCTTTTTTCATCTAAGGTCATATACAATGTGAGGCATTCGACATAGGAGGAAAAACTCCTACCTTATTAACTCCATGTTTAAGACACTGCCACTATCACCTGTTTGAGGAAATGTTTTTGCTACATGTCGATAATTTTACATCACAACAAAGATTCAGGGTAAAATCGATGAATTACAAACTATAAAATGAACACAGAAATCTCATAACTACAAACTATAATGAACACAGAAATCTCATAACGTGAACACAGAAATCTCATAAATACAAACTATAATGAACACAGAAATCTCATAAATACAGACTATAATGAACATGGAAATCTCATAACGTGAACACAGAAATCTCATAACGTGAACACAGAAATCTCATAACTACAAACTATAATGAACACAGAAATCTCATAACGTGAACACAGAAATCTCATAACTACAAACTATAATGAACACAGAAATCTCATAACTACAAACTACAATGAACACAGAAATCTCATAAATACAAACTATAATGAACACAGAAATCTCATAACGTGAACACAGAAATCTCATAAATACAAACTATAATGAACATGGAAATCTCATATCTACAAACTGTAATGAACACAGAAATCTCATAACTACAAACTGTAATGAACACAGAAATCTCATAACTACAAACTGCAATGAACACAGAAATCTCATAACTACAAACTGTAATGAACACAGAAATCTCATAACTACAAACTATAACAGAAATCTCATAACGTGAACACAGAAATCTCATAAATACAAACTATAATGAACATGGAAATCTCATATCTACAAACTGTAATGAACATGGAAATCTCATAACAGAAATCTCATATCTACAAACTATAATGAACACAGAAATCTCATAGCTACAAACTATAATGAACACAGAAATCTCATAACTACAAACTATAATGAACACAGAAATCTCATAACTACAAACTGCAATGAACACAGAATTCTCATAACTACAAACTGTAATGAACACAGAAATCTCATAACTACAAACTACAATGAACACAGAAATCTCATAACTACAAACTGTAATGAACACAGAAATCTCATAACTAAAGTCCTTATTTAGACCACAATCTCAAGTACAAAAACAATAAAAATACTTCACAAACACCATTTTAGCAAATAAAATCTTAAAAATTCTCTTACAAAAATACTAAACTTACATATATTGAAAATCTGCAAATTAAGAAAGAACATAAGGTCTAGTTGTCCATCCTCAGTTCTGTTAACTAAATGTAACAATTGGCACACACTCTGACAACTTGTTTCATATATAGAACATCCCATAAATAATATGCACTACATGTAAACAAACCTGCACTATTTGTAAATAAACTCATTGCCAACTATGCAGAGCCAATTATAATAGAAATGTTGCAATATGTGTGATATGTGTTACAAAGTATAAGCATTACATAAATGATAGCAACTGTAACCAACTTGATAATTGGCCAATTTTATAATCAAGCAAAAAATAGAAAGTCAATAAACTCCTAAGTGTCAACAAGAAATAAATCAGAACGTTTTTTGCAAGTACCTCCATGCAAAACCACAGGAAAACTATTTTGATCACCTGGGTTTTCTACGTAATGACAAAGTTATAACAATGGTAGCTTTTGTAGCTGAATGATCCGAAAAGTCATAGAGGGTTCTACAGAACTCTTTGTCTCAATAACCATCACTGCTATCAGAGTAATAGTGTAATGTTGACTGCCAAAAATTTAAGCCCATTTATCAGTAAAATACAGATTTTTTCATATGTTATTTAGTGATCATGAAGAAGCTTCTGTCCATTAGTGTCCTAACAGTCAATGAAGGTTCCACAAAGTAATTTATATCTAAAATATTTTATCTTTTTGAATTTTTCACTGTTGGGGGATTCAAATGATTGCTAAAAACATACAATGTTCATGCTAATTTATCCAATTATACTCAGTATTTATTTACAGTAAACAAATAGTTGCACACTTGTAAGGTAAAAGGATATACTAGTACGCGGTAAATGCATTGCATCCGACAGAAAAAGAAATGATAATAATTATCTATCAGAATGATTAATCTTTGTACTTTAATGTGTTGAATTAAGTCTTCAATGTCTAGTCTAGATAAACTTTAAACATGTAAATCATTTATTTATTCAAAAGATGATTTTATTTATACTGCAATATAAAATGTTTGCATATGTAAATACACTAATTTCTTTTCTATTTATCTACACTTTTCCTGCATGACCTTGCATAACAAACTGAAAATGTAAAGGCATGTATAAAAATCATCAAATATGTAAATAATTTATTTATTTTTGATACCTTACAGGTAAAAAATTGTTTATCAATTAGTTTCACGTCACTGACCCATCAATCAAAGGCCAGAAAATAATTTACAAATTTATTAAAGATGAATGGGATTACTGGTAGTCTACTGAAATGAACATGATTGAATAATCAGGTATTTCTGTAATTTATGAATGTTTTTGCAAGAATGATCACTCACTAAAAATCTGCCAACTTGTCAATTTCAGATCTCAAATCTTTATGAAATTATTAATACTCAATTTAAATAAATTTAAATATGAAATCATTTTACTGTCAGTTTGGTTATATATAAAAGCAAAAAAATCACTTTTACAATGAATTCTGGTACATGTCGTTAACATTGACCTTTAACCTTAGAGGAGTTGAAGAAACATTTATTTAATGATTATTTTACGAATGGTTTAACAAATAAAGTGAAGAATAGCCTCTTTTTAGCTATAAATACATGCTGTGTATATGTTTATGTGTGATACAAATTAAGTACCAAATTTTGTTATGCGAAATAAGAAATTCTCTACACAAAGCCAATTGAAATTTACTTAAGTGATTTGCATGCAATGCAGAAAAAAAACCTTCCAATTAACAAATATTTTTCCATAAAACAGGGGGAAAAATATTTTCAATGTTGAACAAAACATGTATTATAATTTAGCAGCACTAAAACTTTAATCATGGGAGTATCTAATACTCACATCTGCCAGATGATAATTTGCCATTTACCAAAAAAATACTAGAACCAAGATTTTGCTGATGCCAAATTACAAAAATGGAAAGTAAGAAAATGTAAATAGTCAGTAAACACTTCTACAATATCAATGTTTCACTAACTTACTGAATCCACAATATCAATGTTCTATTGATTAACTGAATTCACAATGTCACTGTTTTACTGACTGACTGAATCCACAATGCCAATGTTTTACAGACTGACTGAAATCCACAATGTCAATGTTTCACTAACCGACTGAATCAATGTTTAACTGACTGACTGAATCCACAATGTCCATATTTTATTGACTGACTGAATCCACAATACCACAATGTTTTACGGAATGACTAATATCCACAATGTCAGTGTTATACTGACTGACTAAATCCACAATGTCTATCTTTTATTGACTCGCTGAATCCACAATGTCAGTGTTTTATTGACTGATTGAAATCCACAATGTCAATGTCTAAATGACTTACATGAATCCACAATGTCATATTTTTACTGACTGACTGAATTCAAAGTCATAACTTTGTCTAAATATAATACTGTCATTGAGAATAACACTTCAACATTATGTAACAAAGTAACTATTCAGAGATCACAAGCAAGATGTAAAATCGTGTTCTAATTTAAACTTATGCATAGAGTTAATTAGTACTACTAGTACACAAAGTTGATTAGTACTGTATTAAAAAAAAATCAATTTGGTTTTTAATATTGTATAATGTCTTTTGTATTGTTTCATTGTCAAATCCTGCAATGTTTGCTAATAAATGAGCTGCGTCACATAGAAATCGTCTTTATGCAAATGAATATCAATACACTCTGTAAACCTATTTTGGGTTGAAAAAATCTCTTGCATGTTCCAAAATCAATCAAGATCTTATACATGTACATGTATACATGCACTTGCATAAGGTTGATTTCTATCTGACGCAGCTCAAATGTTAATACTTACATGTAAGTTTATATTTTATATGTATAAATACTTGTATAACGCAATTTTTTTTTAATAGATATCCATTTACAGGTATTATATTAACCAGCTCAGGAGGAAGCAAATCAGAGCAGAGCAGCTTATCTTTCTTATTAATACATAAATAAGAAGATGTGATAGGATTGCCAACAAAACAACCATCCATAAAGATCAAAGTACAAAGATGTGAACAATTACAGGTCACAATATGGCTTCAACAATGAGCAAAACTCATTCTGTATAGAAAGCTTTAAAAGGCCCTGGTATGACAAATGTGAAACAAATCATAAGAGAAAACCAACAGCCTGATGTATCCTACCATAATGAATTAAAACAAAGTCTCTGCACTTTTCAAACAGCTTGCAGCAATTTTCCAGGATCTCTCACCTCAGCAAAAATATGAACAGTGCTGATTTATATGTATCATTTCATTTTTGTAAATGCATACCATTTCAAACATATAAATATCAACATCATCATAAAGGAAAAGTGTGGAATCCAAATCATATATGTAACCATAGTGAGATTTAAAAAGACAAGTAGCATAAAGACTAAAGAAATATTTAAAACTGATCTTCTCTCTAATTTCATATTTATCTTATTTTAATATGAAAATTATTACCAGGTTAAGTTTAATTTGGTCAGATTTGACATTAAACTCTTCACAACTTATACTCTATTGAACCAAAAATATCTATACACAAAATCTCATACATAACCACTATCTTTCCATATTATCTCATTTAATTTACATTTAGAAGATGTGCTCTAGAAATTATCTACTTATGATACATTATCATAAAAAATTGCTTTTGGAGGTATGATTTTATTTTAAATTTCTTTATGCTTTTCATTGGTTGCATGTACATGGGAGTTAAAATAACTTTTACGTGGACAAATCTCAACATTATTAGGGTATAAGTAAGGTATTAAAATGCTAACTTCTAAGTGTCATTTGAACCATAGCAATTGATTCACAATTTTGGTGAATTGTTGGGCAATTGGACTGTATTTATTTTCTACATATAAAATATTTTGTTTGTTGGAGGAGATTGCGTCCTGTATTTTGGACAGAAATGGATTTAAATATTGTAAATTCCGAAATTTTTGCAATGTTTATCTTTGTAAAAATAATTATCCTAGCATTTTTGTCAAATAATTGAGTCAACATTGGCAATAATAAACGATGCAAAAAATTTCCAATAAAATAAAATGGAGAGGCATGCAAATGTTTTCTTCTATCCGAGAAAATTAGAATGTCTTCCAGTTTAATTTATAAAGAAAAAAATATATAGTATTTTACATTACATCATTCTGATGTTTTTGATTTTCTAAATACAAACTTTTTACATTTTTTGCTTTTAAATAATAATTAAAATGCACCGTTTCAGAAATAGCTGCAGGTTGCTATTTATATAAATTCATTCTGACATAACCTAATTTCTGTGAAAAATAACACTTGTTATGTGTCAAAAATAGTTTATATAAACAACAGCCATATGTTACTTACAGTTTACAAATTACGTCCATACCAATCAATCCTCGAAAATGCATCAAAAAAATTCTCACAAAAAATTCAGTCCACAAGTTCTCCGAAAAAATAAAAATAGTCTGTTAATTTGTCTAAAAGTCATCAATAATCTATGAGTATTGATCCAGTACTGATCACAAGCAGTGAAATCACCTTGCTCTAGGCCCTGTGTGTTATGACAATTTATTACCCTACCTTCACCTAGCCAAATTACTACATAGTTTAGTGATGAAATCACCTTGTGCTATTTTTACCTGTTGAGAAGCATTAAAAATGATCACTACCATTTATTATTAGAGTTGGGTTGTTACCCCCATATTGTGCAGTTACGAATGGTCTTAGCTCCTTGGTTTACAAATAGCATTGTGCAGTGTGACAATAGCTATAGAGATTTACCTAAGGAATTTAAATTTTCTTTTTTTCTTCTTTTGAATTAATTGCAGGGTATTTTATTGCAAGCTAGTTCTTTAGCTGACCTTCAAAATTTTAACACATTTTAAAATCCTTTCAGTAATGTGCAGTATTATCGCAGAAGTTTACTTAAGATAAGATTACAGGACAATTGCATGATATACTCTTTTGTTGAGTTCTTTTCATTTTCTTGTTTGTGTTTTGTTGTTAATATAAACATGATAAAAGTATTTAAGTATATTTAAGATTTTTTCTAAAAAAAAAAGAGAAAACACTGGCAAGCACCTGGCACATCTGCTCACGTTGTGATGTACCATTTTAAGGCTACCATATAATAGAAATTATACAAAATAAGCTTGTATTATTCTTAGTTATATGAAAAATTGTGCCACATCTTTTAAAAACATAGCACTTATTTCACACAGGCCAAATCAGTTTTTTTACCGTCCAAATAGAAGGCCTTAACTAAATATATATTCTTTATCCTAAACTAAGTTGCTTTCTTGAAAAAGAAGAAATGCATTTGAAAGGCATTTGAATATTGTTCTAAAAATTAAGATAAATAAATTTGGCGCTAAATTGTCCTCAATCTATTCCCATGGAACTGTGGGGGAATATACACTTAAAAATTCCTAAAACCTTTCATTATCTTTTTTGCTTTCCTTTCAGTTTCTTGCAATTAATTTGATTATCTTGTCAAATTTACAAAGTTACCAGTAATTTGCATTTAATTAACAGTAAACCATTGGAGTTAATAATTTTTTTATAACAATATAACTGTTAGTCAGTCACTAGGAAGAGAGATGCGTTTATAATTTACTCCATTTAAAAATAAAGACTAAGGATTGTTCAATCGAATTAACTTTTTCAAAATATTGAACAAAACTCCCCAAAAAACATACTATTTCTTTATCTTGAAATAAAAATGAAATAGCACTGAAAAAAATGTAATTGTTTATTCTGATTTCCACATAAACAAGGATCTATTTATCATGGTTATCATTCATATAGAACAAATAAAATTCTGTAAACCAACTTATTTTCGCGACTTTTGCGAGTAGAAACATAATGCAAATATAAATTTTCGCGAATATTTAAAACTTGGATCTTTCCTTATCTAACATCATCAAGTAAATTTGAAAATCGCGAAATTAAATTGTGCGAAGTGTGCTAAAAAGGCCAAAACCCGAAATAAGGTATCCACGAAAAATAAATTGGTTTACAGTATCCTAGCTAACTGACAATAAGCAGATTGGCCATGAACCTAGGCTACTCCAAGAATGTATTAATGTTCTCAAAATATCATTATGCAGTGATAATAGAGGCAAAAACTGTTAAAAATGAAAAACTTCTTCATGCTGAATCAACATTAGATAATGTATGTAAATTCAACTCCAGTGAAGGTCCAATATGCATCCAACCAGTCACAAAAGTTCAACCAATTATAAAATGTTTTGACAGTAATGTATTAAGTCTGATCTTGCTTGGCTAATGCCCTTTCCTGTTAGTTTATTTAAATACTTAACTATTTTTACACAATTATATTTGTTATAAGAAAGAATTATTTTTTAAACTTAAAACCCATTTACACTAGACTACACGAGACTAATTTGACAACTCCATCAATTAACACGTACAAAAAACTCATTTTAGGTGTCATAATTTAATAGGATTACAAACTTCAGGTGGTAAACATTTCATCTCCATAATACTGCATCTAAATTAATTTGAAGGTACTTTAATATAAATCAAACCTTCTGATTATTTAACAAAATGATAAAATCAATTAAATCTGGTTATCAATATCAAATTTAAAATCATAATCATATAAGTTTTAACAATAAACTATAACCTGTTCATTAAAATTTTAAAAATATTTTCCATATACAATTCAGTTGTTTTTGGGTTGCTGCCTCATTTGGTGAACTTCTATTTATAGCACTTCTGTTCTCTATTACGAGGGTAGGAAGGTCCTTTATCGTCAAGCATCAAACGTCCGTTTTTCGCTACCGTTAGCGTCAAATGAGCTTTAATTTTTTTATCGTCATTCGTCAAATCTCATTTTGTAGCTACCGATAGCGTCAAATGGAGTAAAATGTTTATTGTTAAAGTTATTTTCACAAATATTTTACCGTCATTCGTCATGTGGGGTACCCCATTTGTACCCTCTATTACAAGCTGCAGGTTAACAATGTTATGTCACTTTTTAACATGATCCCATTTTAACAATTAATCAGCCTGGTTACGAACAACTACAAATGAGAAATTACAAATGAGACAGATGTGTACAATTTATCCTAAATGTACACAACATTTAATTACTTGAATTCATCAACATAAAAAATCAGTGCCCATGAGGCAAATCATGAATCATTGCACAAGATGAAACTGACCAATGAATACATTAGCAGGGTAAAAAATAAAGCATTTAGGAAGCCACTAAAGTCCAGACTCACTCACCATTGAACTAAGAGTATAAAGTTGTTGTGTAAGACATAAAACACCCAAAACTGACCATATTTAATCCTTCCATCAGTTAGCAAGTCATTGAAAACCTATAACCAAGTGAGCAAATTAGTTACTGACTAAGACTACAACTCTTTTCTCATTTCTTCAGGAATTTTTGTACAAACTTAAAGAGGTCCTTAAAAAATCATAAAACATAAAATTGAGAATTGAAATGGGGAATATGTCAAAGAGACAACAACCCGACCAAAGTGCAAATAACAGCCGAAGGCCACCAATGGGTCTTCAACGCAGCTAGAAAATCCCGTACCCAGAGGTGGTCCTCAGCTGGCCCCTAAATAAAAGTGTGTACTGGTTCAGTGAAAATGGACGTTACACTAAACTCCAAAACATATAAAGGAACTAAAATTAAAAAAAACATGTTTGATTAATTCAAAAAAGTTCGTAATTAAAGTTTAAGAATGCCAAAAACGTGATACAATTTGGTCAACAAATTCATAATGGAGAAAAAAGCATAAGAAATTTGAATATCTTTACCTGTGCAAAATCCAATTAACGCTACTTCCACAATCCTGCTAAAAAGGAGAACTACCGAAAGTGATGAACCCGAAATCCTATACTTGTACCACAACTAGTTCACAAAACAATTTTTTGGGGCCCTATATAGCTTGCTTTGCGGTGTGAGCTAAGGCTCCGTGTTGAAGACCGTACTTTGACCTATAATGGTTTACTTTTAAAAATTGTGACTTGGATGGAGAGTTGTCTCATTGGCACTCATACCACATCTTCTTATATCTATCTACCGACTAATTCAAGGATGACATCAAAATCTTTTACACAATGAAAACGACTTATCCGTTTTGCAAATCTTAAATTAAACCAAGAACTGAACAATTTCCTCATATATAGGCAAGGTAACATGTAAAAAGTTTTCAGTTCAGAGGTAGTTGAATGGATGGATGAATTGATTGACAAATTCAAAATTAATACTCAATTGCCGAAATACATTCTCCTCAATCAAAGCCAGATATACAATAGCTTAGCAAGAACATATGTTCAAAACAAGTTTCCAAACCTTAGCTCTAACGGTCATTGTGATATTTTTGTTTTTGATAATTTGCAGACCATAGATATCACAGCTATTTCAGACCAAACAAAACACATGCAGGACTTTGATTGTGGGGAGAATATAGACTGATGTTAACCTATAAAATTAAAGGGCAAGTTTTTTAAAAGTTGGTATTACAATAATGATCTTTGAGATTACTATACATGTATTGATAAATCATTTTTATGCTCACCTCTAACACTCAGAACAAGGCTTCTCACATCAATGCTCAAAAAGTTAAGACGATTTTAAGATCCAATTATGTATTTTGTCTTAAAACATGTAGAATCCATTGAATTTTCATATAACTTACACAATGAGGACAAAGTTCTACGCCAATAAGTAATGCTTTTTATTTTTATAATCCACTTCCAGAAATTCCACATTTTATATCAGACTTGAACTCCAACAAATTGTTCAAAGTTAAAGTTCTGGAATTAAAAGTTATCTGCCCAAAAGGTTCTTCATGTCTGACATGGTATTAAGCCCAAGACACCATTTTGTTTGGACAAAAATTACATGGTGAATTTGAACTGATAAAAGGTCAAGATGACATTTATTGTATTTAATAATCCTCTCTTCAATACATGTTATAATCTTTAGGTAAGAAAATTTTAAATATATTTTAAACCAATATGCTTCATTTAACAAAGATAAGTCAGCCTACTAAAACTTGTGAATTAGTTGTTATTTATAGAAGTCTGTTGGTATTCAGCTTTTAAAGGGTACATGTTTGAGATAATTTATTTAAGTCGCTGTGACCTAATGTCCTATAAGAATTAACCAGTTAAAATTATTTCCTGAAGGGAAAGTAGTAATTTGCAAAAGGCCAGACTTAAACTGTACAAAAGGAGTACTGTGGATTCATTTATTTTCGTGGGTACCAATTTTCGTGGATAAGGGAAATTTGGCATGTTCGTGGATATTTAATTTCGTGGTTTTACCGAAAGTCTGCGTACAAGCCTATACAAAATATGTCATTCGTTGAACATTTAATTTCGTGGTTCACTTGTACCCACGAAATCCACGAAAATTGGTATCCAACGAATAATAATGAATCCACAGTATTACATCCTATATGAAAATAATAAGATGTGGTATGATTGTCAATAAAACAGGCATTTACTAGACACCAATGATGTTGATAAAAACAAATGTAGGTTACTGTAGCTATGTTTGAAACAGACTCCATATTCTGTTTACCACAGTGAAATTTGAACTAAATGTTTATTTTCTCTTTTACGAATACTTTTTCTTCTGTGAAGAGGTAAACTCCACTATACACACATCTGCATAGTTTCCAGATAAACAGCTTTATTGGTAGAGAAAGCTAGAGTTGTGAGAGTTAAAAACGTCCACAAATGAATGAATTCTATTACAATTCATGTGCAATTTGTCATTTTGCAAACAGTGAATCTAGGTTTACATCCATACAACAGCTACAATTATTGGTAGAATATGATATAAAAGGCAGGGTTTGCAACTAAAAATTTCAGGGT